TTTATTTAAAAATATTAAAATATAATTCATAAATAATTATAATAAACAAAAAATTAAATTATTTATATAGTTAAAAAATTTATTTAATTAAATTATACACAATTCTTATTAGTATCAATATTTATTTAATTAATTATGATTCATTCTAAATTACTTTTCATTTATAAATTTTAGTTATCTAAATCAAAAAATTGAAGAGCATGGCTATGATGACTTGTATGGATTTTTGGAGCCCCAATCCATACAAGAATCGGGGAATAAGAAAGAAGAGGCTATAAATTATATAAATGATAGGATAAAGAACTCCCAGAAGCAAATTTACTTGGCTCCTTACGTTGATCAGTAAGTACATGTTTCTTATTGCATTTAATTTATGTAATTTATATATATATTGTTTAACTAATTTTGGCTCAATGTAGAAATCATTGGCAGCTGTTGGTTCTTTGTCCTATGAGTAATGTTGTTGTATGGTTTTGTTCTTTGCATCATAAGCCCCCTATACATGTCAAACATTTAGTTAAAAGGTAAACTTTAATTTGTAATACGTTTTTTACTTTTATGCTCTTTATTATAAAATTTTAATTATGTAACTTACGTTCATTTTTTCTTTAGTGTTATGGCTGTGTATAATGTCATGAGTGGTATATCTACTGCACTGTCAAAGAACTTAGAATGGATTTACCCCATGGTAAGTAAGTGGTTCGTAATTAAAGTCAATGTGCCTAAGAAATTCTTTTATTACCTTAATTAAACAAAACTATTTATACTACTTTATTTGGTGTTCGTTTTAGAGTTATAAACAACAAGGACATTATGAATGTGGATACTATGTCATGAATTGGATGTCAGAAATAATTGAAGGGGGAGTAACAAATGGTTGGAGTGAGGTACATTTTTTTAATGCTTTTTATGATGTAACTAATATATGATGTATATATGTTGCAGCTTTTTGAAGATGCTACACCATTGGGGGAAACCAAATTGGAAGACATTCGGATTCATTGGGGAAATTTATTTTTAGAAAAATTTAGAAATAGATCATGTTGAAAGGTCTAGTATTACATGTAAAATTTAGAAATAGGTGAATGTGGTTTCAGTATTAGGCTGTCCAGTGCATGTCTAATGTAATGTGACCTAATTTTTTTGCTCTTCTCTTCTCCTTATAGGAGATATATATTATATAATGATGTAATTGAGCCATTTCTATAATGATAATGATCCCAAATTAGTCTCTGTTAGTTTCTCTTGCATTGGATAATTGAATCAGTTTTTGCAGGTTATATATAATTGAATCAGTTTTATTTTAGAAATTAATCACGTTAAAAAAATACAATCAACAGCGGTTCTAAGCAACAACTGACTTAGATGTATATATGCACATCTAAGTCGGTTTTGAATAAAAACCGTCTTAGATGTGTATATATACATCTAAGTCAGTTTTGATAAAAACCGACTTAGATGTATGTGCACATCTAAGACAGTTTTGTAAAAACCGACTTAAATGTATAAGTACATCAAAGTCGGTTTTTACGTAACCGACTTAGATATGATCATTCAACTACGACGGCCTTATCTAAGTAGGTTTTAAAATCGATGCACATATGGGAAAATAACCGACTTAGATTTCAATCCTTCTAGTAGTGCTCCCCAGGTGTAGCAAGTAAGACAGCTGAGGAATCAGAGAGAACCAATGAACAGTAAACCAATTACATGTTATACTGTGCATTTTTGTTGGTTATTAGTCTTCCCAGGTGTAGCAAGTACGTCAGCTGAAGAATTAGAGAGAACCAATGAACAGTAAACCAATTACATGTTATGTTGTGCATTAGTGTTGGTGATTACTCTCCCCAGGTGCAGCAAGTAAGTCAGCTGAAGAATTAG